TTGTGAAAAATCATTCTCATGTAACTTCAAATGATGAAAAAACGAATAAATTTGAATATTGAAAAAAAATCATTTCTTCAATTGAATTTTCCACTTTTTAACGTCTTTGATTATCAATAACAAAGTGGATTTTTTTAAATTTTTCCAACAGGAATCTTTTTTGAAGGCTCTCAACAAAAGCTCCAAGAAGTGAACGAAATTTGAGGTTTTCATATTAAAAATTATCAGGGTTTTTATGTTGATTTAAAACTTGTAAAAATTAGTTGATTAGGTACTGAAGTATATCTAATAAATTAATCACGGGAAATTTTTTTCCATGGATTTTCGTTTATTCAAGTGTCTAGAAAGTATGTGATTTTTTTTTCAATAATAATATTTAATGGGTTAGAATAATTTTTATTGTTCAAAGGTCCGTAGGAAATTCCCTCTTTTTCAAGTATCTTTTTTCAAATTTTGGATATCTTCTAAATTTTCCGAGATATTTGCAAAAAACCAAACCCCCCTTTCTTTACTGAATTGTTTATAACGTTTGCAATTTTTTTGAGCTCCTCTTAAAATTTTTCAAAAAGTTGCTAGAGGTCATTCCGAATTGAATGAGCTCTGGATAATAATTTTCAGTGCCATTGGACAGAAGTTCCAAAAAAAGGATCTTGTAACCCAGACTATTAAATATCATTTTGAATAAATTGAAATCAACAGGACAATACTAGTATTTCCTACTAAGTAAGTAAGCAAGTGAGACTTTATTTCCTTAATGACAAAATAATTTGTATAGGATTAGTCAATGTCCTGAAAGTAGAATAATATCTAGCCTAAATTTGAGTCTACAAACGTTAATATCACAAAAGAGGAACATAAATATATCTGTTATATCTGAAATTAGTGCAAAAATATTCGTCTTGAGAATAAAAAACTTGATTCAATAAAAACTCATTCAATGCTAATTTGAATAATTTCAGTTCATTTCATAGTCAATAGTAATTTATTGAAAATCCTTTGGCCAATTATTGATGGAGAATTGAAAAGAATATTCATTTTAAAAAGGTACATGTAGATCATTATGTTATTTGGTATTGACTCAATGTACTTGAGCATCAGTTTCAAAATGTTTTAGATTGTATACAAACTGGTTGTAATCGATACACCAGCAATACAACGAATGACTTTTTTGTGGAAGATAAAAACATCATTGAATTTTGATGACATTGCCCAAAAGACAATGCCATATCTCAAGCGAGATTCTGTCTGGGCAAAGTACAGCATAATTAACTGGTCATGAGTAATTACCCATCTAAAATTAAGAAGCATATAAATAAAATATTTCATATCTGAAACGACTGCCCCACAATATCTCATCCTGTCAAGACACCCGACGACATGTATACCTTAAAGTTTCACACATGATACCTTGTTAATTTGATGATTTCCAATTTTAATATCAATATTAGCTATCTGTTTTTGTTTATTATGAACGTGTTCTGCATGTGTTTTTTCTGCTTTGAGATAAAAAAAATTCCTGCAGAACCACTGGTAAAGATTCGACAATATATTATTTGATTGTATTTCTGATGCTGCATTTGCTTTGTTAGATATCAGAATAGAAGTGTCATCTGCATAAATTGTGAAGTGTATTTACTGATGGACTCATGAATGTTGTGTTATTCGTACATAGTAAAAATCATATGGGCTCCAAAACAGATCCTTGTGGGACACCGATAGTGATAGAGATGTAATTAGATTTACTGACATTTACCGGTGTTTTCGTTATAATCGGAACATCAATGTATTGTTGACGTCCAGATAAATATTTCATCTTCTGAAAACGCCAATTTTGTTGGTGAAACAGGCATAGATTAAAGAATTGCAGTTCTGGTGTTTGGGAACAGTGCTGGTTTCAGATTTATTCTATGTCAGATGTTCTGGTTGTACCTTTCATTGATATTGTAACTCTCTGTTGTCACAACAATAAATGTAATGTGATAAAGGACAGACATCCCAAACTATTAGTTTTTTCTTTTTTATGTATAATGAACTAGTTTTTTATCCGCTTTTGGTTTTTAGTTTTGTTTTTCGAAAAGCAAAGCATGCTACGAAAATAAATTGGAGAATAAAAAAATATCATATTTAGATGTTTACGAAACTTAACATTGAATGTTAAAAAATGAACAAATGCACAAAAAATTTACATCAGTAACGTAAATGTTTTTGTCAATAATACTGGCTAAACTGTGTCCTGAGACGCCACTGGACTCATTAATTTGTATATATTTAAGGCTACATGAACATCTCAACACTGATAATAAAACTACCAAAGTTCACCAATGTTGGATAAGGGATATTCACAATATTAATGAAAATTAATTTTTCAGAGACGTTCAACATCCTGTGTCTCGAAAGCAATGCATTTTCGTATAAAAGAATTTTTTTCATCAGTTCACGCTTTTACATTTCTCTACTGCAATTGGGAAACACCCTATATATCATACGAATTAAGTTCATGTGAATATGAAAAATACTCGAAATATACTTTAAAGATTATTGTAGTTTGAGCTCCACGGCCTTCAAATAAGTTTGACTCACGATCAAATGAACAGAAGATAAACACTGTTTCAGTTATCATCAATTATTGTTTGTGAGTAATATATCTTTTTCTATGAACTATTGGTTATGCAATAAATAAATATTTTATAAGCATCAGATGCAGACTTGTAATGGCATAAATAAATCTCGATTATTTTTGGTTATAATAAAACAAAATCTGACTGTTATTTGATAACATTTGCAGTTGAGGGTATGGATGAGATGTTTACAGTATCCAAAACAAACACTGAAGACGCCAACTTGGTTGGTGAAAGGCGCGAGAAGAGTTTTGAGTTTTGTGGAAGAATTTTTTGTTTTACCCAAAACTCAATTCATGACAGAATGTATGCCAAATATTACTGGAGTTCTTTCCCCACACCAAGCCGTTATTTTAAAACCTCGACACTTTTTTCGATCACTAAGTGATCGTCTTCAAGAGAAAGATCAAACTCTTCCAAACCGTTATTTCAAGACCTCGACACGTGTTTCGATTACTAAGTAATCATCCTCAAGAGGAAGAGTATGATCTTCATGAAGGTGATCACTCGGTGATCGAAACATGTGTCGAGGTGTATAAATAACGGTGTGGTGTTGGGAAAAAGCTCCGGTAATATTCATTACTACACCATAGGTTCCAAACAGTGCATCAAAAGTATTTTGTTGATAACAACCTAGAAAACAAACTCCTAATTCTACCAGTTTGGTGATTTCCAAATACCAGAATTATATGTCTTCAGTAGAAGTATTGAGAAGAGAATGACAGCCTTGTATGAGTAGCCGGTATTAGTTGGAGTTAAGAGACCGGAAAATATATCTTTCCACTTGGGTAAGTTTTGTGGGGTATCTGTTTAAAATTTGTTCGAAATCTGTTTTTCCGTTAATCAGTTGCCGCACCAGAAGTCGAAACTTGTGCGAGCTAAGGACTAACGAGGTCTTACCTTTTAACGTGTGATTCCTAACACGGTATGTATGAAGAGTAAATTCTGAAACTTCATGCAAAGTGGTCTTCATTGAAGACGTTTTGTTGAACAGAGGGTGTTTGGGCCACCTCGTTTGATATTGAAAACCAGATCCAGCTCTATCTATGATATGATTATGATCATGACACTATAAATTTCATTCAAATGATATTGTATTATAATTGTTCTACTTGTAATAATCATTCATTTGATATAGTTTTATAACTACCTACTGTTATAAATAAAACATTGTAGAATAGTTTGATGTCAGTGTCACTATTTTCATTCGGGTTTGAAAGCCGTCGATTTTTGGAATCGAGGAAGGAAGGAATTTCAAAAACAGGGTCACTGTATTCATAATTGAAATCTATTTCATTGGCTGCAGTGGTACTTTAATTCCTCCTTTTCCACATAATTCAAACCCCAGATATCTCCTCAGACTCCAATCAGAATCATTGTTATGTAAGCATTCCATACTCAAAAGCCTATAGCATCCATGTTGTCGGGGCAGTGTAATCATAGAACGAACCATGTAGGTTGCAAACTCCAATGAAGATGCAATATCTTATGGTTCTTCAGGTTGAGTTGATATAATTTCCCCGCGTCTCCCTCATTACTCCACAACAATTTTTACAGATAGAAACCTCAAGCATGTTTATAGCAGCAACTTTGTGCTTCTCCAACTGTATTTATCTACTAATATAGTGTTCCGAGTATAATTAATATTTAAAGTAGGCCATGGTCATGTAACTGCCAAAGAATTGAAGAAATATTGATTCTAATAGGTAACAAATGACGTTGAATGATGAGTTTTCATGTTACATTTGGTTGAATGCCAATGCAAAATTCGTTTTGAGCTGAAAGTACTGATGAAAACATTTCCTGGACTTCCACCGGTAGTTATTGGTTTTATGAATGAAATAAAAATGAAATAATATATGTGGATTTTTCTTCATTTTGATACTGAATTGCATAATAAAGTGTTGTTATTTACAATTTGACAAGACAACTTCAAGTAATCCTAGTTTTGGAAAATTTTCTTCTTCAACAAGATTCCATAATCGTATTTTTGCACCATTCAGTTGTCCAAAATGAACCAGATTTTCAACTGACAGAAAAAGCAGGGAGAAATAATAGTTTTCCATCCAATTTTTAGATCTTATTTTACAAAAATTTCATAATGAGTAACAATGAATAATATATAAAATAACTGAACTTCCTATCTCTTTCAAAGCATGACACGTATTTAAAATCCATCAAAATTCATTTAAAAAACTTCAACATTGAAAAAATTAAGTATTGAGGAAACATTCCACTTTCGCAAGTATTTCATCTTCTTTAAATATCCTCACTTTCTAGATGTACAATTCAAGTTGCATCATTAACTTTTTCCGACATCCGCGTCGAGATTCAAATTCAAAAATAAACACTTGGGATTCAAAAATATAAAACACGACTCACCTTGAAGATAATTCTCCACACCCGTGGTAGTTGTCATTCGAGGCTCATCCTTAAGAACTACTCAGAATACAAGCGAAAAGTTACATATTTGTTATTTTTATTATTTCAAGAGCTGCAAGATATGCGAGCCAGCCAAGATCGGCCCTCGTGCCGAACTGCCGCTGCATAGTCGTCTGGACGCGCTCCAAGCGTCCCACCGCGACGTCATGCGTCCAGGGGCGTACTGCGGATTTGTTGCCGGACGACGAGAGACAAGGTTTCTACTATGCTTCAACGAACAGCAGGATCGGATTTTGGTACTGATGGTGGAAAATTCAGAATTCTGATGAGAAAAATATATTAGCGTCTGTTTTAAGATTGTACAAGACGTCTGAAGTCTCAAAATTTACAAAAGTTTGCCTTACTTTAAAATAAGAAGGGAATATTTTTTGAAGAGATCAGTTTTTTCGGAAACTTTTTGTCTTTCTACTACTCCATCAATTAACATAAAATGTGGGAAACTCCAAAAGAAAGAAAAAAAAAAGGAATGAAATAAAAACTCTATATACTGAAGTTTATTCCAGAAATAATCGGATTTTGAAACAGCAACTTTCACATGAATTCTGAGTTTCGAACAACTACTTTCATACGAAAATTAATTACACGAACATACTTTATAATGCATACATTATAGAATTGAAAGAGATATTATTCATAGGAACGTTACATAATATGATATATGAAAGAGTATTGATATGAAACGTCAGTTAAATGCTACCTTATCATGCTCAATGGTTTACTTCGAAGTTTCGGGATAAGGCAGTTGTCTAATGACATCATTAGAACCGTTTTGGAGAACATTACAATACGAATCACTCATTTCTTTCATACGCATACCAATTCGTACGGCTAGTTGATCACAGACATAAAAATTTGATTTGAATTGCAAAAGTAATACCTTTAGGGAATATCAGTTTTTGGCGAAAAGCTTTCTGGCCCTATCATTCTCCACCATTAAACACAAAGTATGGGAAACTCTTCATAAAGTAGTTGTTTTGAAAGTGTTTTTTCTTCCAGTTTGTATCTGAGAGAAACTTTTGCGAATACACTAAGTTTTAAAATCTGTTTTTCCGTTAACCAGCTGTCGCACCCCTACGAACGACAACCCTCAGAAGTCGAAACTTGTGCAAGCTAAGGACTAACGAGGTCTTACCTTTCAACGTGTGATTCCTAACACGGGTTGGATGATAGCAACTGAAAATCGATCGGTCAGCCTGGGTCTTGAACCACCGACCAACACGATGGTCGATTTGAATGAGTGACTAACCGACGGGCTACCGACCGACTATGTACATCATAAAGTTTTTATTGTAGTTAATTTTTTCTTTCTTCCTTTGAAAGACATTTTTGTTCAATGGTGAAGAAGTAGAGAACCAAAAGGCTGTTTGCCCTACTCACTTGTGAATTTTAATAATAGTTTATCAATCGTTTCCACTTCAACTTGCCTACTAGCAACTGTCACAGTACTGCTGAAAAATAACAAATTACAAAAATAACAGAGATTAAAATAATAAAAAAATACCATAATGAGTCGATAATGAATATTAATAACTGAATCTAAATTAAAGTAAAACATATTTACTTCAATCTTTTACATTATACTTCCTAAACGACGACATTCAGATATTTGATTTTTTCAAATTTCGGATAATCAAATTAACTAAGTGATCAATTAAATGAAAATATGCTTCTCAAATTTGTTTTATAGAATTGTAGTAAGAGACCATAAATGTCTACATTGCTACAGTACTCATAGAAAGTTTCAGTAATTCTGATTGTGATAGAATTATTCCTTATATATGAGGAATATACGTAAGAAGATAATCATCTATATGATACAAGTGTTACGTGTAGGTACATAAAAAATTATCAGAGATGATATAGACAGAAAATTGAAAACAGTGTTCAGAACTTTGAAGATGAAAATCCGATCAGTAACCATTCCAAGAATATTCAAGTATATTCTACTATTACATTATATAAAAATAAAGTGAATCAGTGAAACTACAAATATCCTTAGATTTTTCCAATTCTGAAAACTGAGGCAGATTTCAGCTTCCGAAACGTTAAGCTTGGTGACTATATTATTTTGAGTCATTTCTTTATAGGCAAATTTATTGACTATGATGAGTTACTTATAAATGGAAAAATACTTTGAATTTACGCAATAACTCATCGGATGACCTGAAATGTTTGCTCTTTCTGTACGAATATGAAATTCTTTATGAAAATTTTCATATTTTCTCAGATTGTGGAAGGTGAAAATGCCCAAAGAAGGTCAATGAAAACTCGCGCACTACACGAAAAATGACGTTCACTCAATATTTTACACATAATAAGTATTATTAAGTTTAAGTATTTTCTTTTTGTTTGTGTTTTGTCCTCAATAAAAAGTTTTTTTTTTTAGTGGAGTCAGGGATTTTTGGACAACGAAAGAAATCCAACGCAAATAAATTAAAGAAAAGTTGCCATTATGAATATGTATACAATAATCCTAAATAGCTGGTATTCGCATAAAATATAAATTTCTTCGACTTAATTTAAAAACTACGTTTTGGTGAAAAACAATGCATTATTTTCTGGGCATAGACACAGAGAGATGATGTTTATACGGATTTCATGTTCAATTCATCCGTTGTGTATTTATGTTTGAATTTACTACTTTTGATTATATAAAAATTTTGAAAGTCATATAGTATTGCAAGGTTTTGTAAGTCATCATAATTGAAGTTCATATTAATATTTTGGAAATTTGGAAATTCTGTAAAAGTTTGTCTCGATAAATTTGTGGAAGTTTCTCTTATAGATTTCCGCATTACGAATTCTGAATGACAGATTACAAAGAAGTTCCATTTCTTTTCCTGTGATGATGATCCCTTTTTTTCATTTTTTTGTCGAACACAGATTACAACTTTTGGACCACTTTTATATTACTCGAAAACAATTTACCCCAAAGAGGTAGTCTAGGATCCGGCCCAGGGTCCTCTTGATGTGAAGAAGGGATAGTTCTGGTTGTAATGGCTTCTATTACTTGAGAGCTTTTTGTCGTCTTCTGAACACTGTTCTATCAGATTTGTGGACTATCGATTCTGTTGATTCTTAACTTTGCTTTGCAGACTTGCAGGCTGTATTGATGATGGCTGGTTTTATAGTTCAGGTATTATTCCCCGTGACTGTAGACTCACTTCTGTAGACTTGTAGGTAGCCTTCACATCAATTCTAGAAATAACAGTTCATTATAGAATTTCGTCTCCATTGTAAATTTTACGGGGGTGTGCCAGAAAGGCGTCTAGTTTAACGTTTCTGTATATAGTCCACTTCATGTATAATTGAGTTGACTATCACCAGTGAAACAGGCGTTTTCATTAACCGACTTCTTGCATGATGAATTCGTCCTTCTACTAGAAATTGTAGTTATAACAGATCAGCACTCAGTATTCCTCTAGAAGTCTAGATGATCCGAAGAGCCTACTTCATAGGATCAATAATGATATCGAATTGATCTATCGTTCCGTGATTTTAACTTCGAAAGAGTGCTTTGAGATTTTCTTGCATCAACCAAATAATCGGCAGCAGATATTTTGATGAATTTCGAGTGGTCTTGTGAATTTTAGGCGATCCATACCCTTGAGGAGGTTCACTTGACTACGGTGTTGGTGTTGATCTCTCTTCATCAGAAGAGAAAATTCCATGTCTATTATCGATATGGTACATCTCTTTTTATCGAAATGGTTAAATTTCATAGCTCTTCTGAACAACGTCTTCAACATTCTACTGGTAGATATATTCCTATCAAAATTTCAACATTTCTCTTTTTGGTAGGTAGAATTCTTATGACATTAACTGTCCATAGACAATTTAGGAGATTTCGTTCTCCACATACAGGATGGTTCTCGATTTTCAAATTGAATTTTTTTGAATCGGTCTGATCTATGAGGGAACTTTTTATTTGTGAAATTATAAAACAACGATAAAAATAAAAACAACAATCAAAATTTGTTGGCGCTACGGGGCGACTTCATTGATTCCAGTGGCGCATTTGCTTTTTCAGCTGCAGGAAAACTCGGAAAAACCTGCAGCATCATAGCGTCTGAAGATCTTGATCTGCCAATCTCCTCTCTCTCATAAAACAAAATGTAGGGTGTCTCCAGAGGATCCAAAAGATTCAATACACCGCCGGAACTGTTGGATTGAAGGAGTCGTAACTTAATAATTTTTGACATTTCGGCATTAACCCCACAGCCAGACTGGCCGATCCATAGATAATTTTTAGAATGCCATTTCGTAAGTTTATCAAATCATGAATCTATCGATGGGGGATCTTTTATTGTCTTCACACCCCTCTATCAATTCCGTCTCTGTCCCATTTCCATGGCCTTCTCATCGTACTCCAGAACGTTGCAGTCTAGCGGCGTGCGCTCTGACACAATATGCATGCATCATTGTTTATGTTCAGGATATGTTGGCATGCTTGAGCGGCTTCACTTAATGAGAACGTTATCCTGGCCTCGTAAGGACAATCTGCTATTATAAAGGAGTTAGGGAAATTTAGTGGTGTCATACACTAAGTAGATTTGTAAGGGCGCTTTGCAGGATGACGGGGTTCGTTGGAAATTATATCGCGACCGATGACACCTCATTTCTGAAAGAACATTCTGTTCTATTATGAACAATTTGGTTTACATGAAGGTTATATAGTTTTGGATTTTGGATGCAATGGCCAATAAAGAAACTGTTCAGGGTTTCGGTAATCCTGGTAACCTGGAAGTGTTTCGTTTTATATTACATTCTTTATTTATGGTACTTACTTATTTATTGCAAGGAAGAACAATTGAGTGATGACTTGTCATCATGCAAATTGAACTTTTATCTTCATATATTCAAAGATAATAAAGACGATATTATTATATTATTATTTCAGTATTTTCGGTTTTCCAATATCTACAGTTTTTGTTCTGTTTCTTGCCAGATGAAATTTCCAAATATTCACTTTTCCAAAACGTTCTCACACTGTAGAATTTGGTACACGCATGGTAAACAAACTGTTCAACCGCTTGATACCATGCTGGACATTGAATGGGCTTGTTTCATGATTTTTGGTTTATAGTCCACTTGATAGAAATTTCAAATTGAAAAACAGCTCACTTTGTTTCATCCCCCTAAATGCCGTAGTTTTCCCGTAATTAATTATTGAAAATCGAATGTGATAGGGTGGTGACGTCACGACCCTATTACCGCTTCTTGTTTGATTGGCCAATAGAAACAATAGAAATAATCAACATT